TGTGGATCATAACAAATTATGGATAACATTGCAAAGAATGGGAATTCCAGAACACTTAATTGTGCTCATGAGGAACCTGTACATAGACCAAGAGGCAGTCGTTCAAATAGAACAAGGGGATACTGCATGATTTAAAGTCAGGAAAGGTGTGCATCAGGGTTGTATCCTTTCACCATACTTATTTAGTCTGTATGCTTAGCAAACAATCCAAGAATCTGAACTATATGAAGAAGAATGGGGTATCAGGATTGGAGGAAGACTCATTAATAACCTGCGATATGCAGATGACACGATCTTGCTTGCTGAAAGCAAAGAGGACTTGAAGTACTTACTGAAGAAGATCAAACACTACAGCCTTCAGTATGGATTACACCTCAACATAAAGAAAACAAAAATCCTCGCAAGTGGACCACTAAGCAACATCATGATAAATGGAGAAAAGATTGAAGTTGTCAAGGATTTCATTTTACTTGGATCCACAATCAACATCCATGGAAGCAGCAGTCAAGAAATCAAATAATGTATTACATTGAGAAAATCTGCTGCAAAAGATCTCTTGAAAGTGTTAAAAAGCAAATATGTCACTGTGAGGGCTAAGATGTGCCTGACCCATGCCATGGTATTTTCGGTCACCTCATATGCATGTGAAAGCTGGACAATGAATATGGAAAACCAAAGAAGAATGGATGCTTTTGAATAATGGTGTTGGCGAAGAATATTGAATATACCATGTGTGATGGTTTAGGTTATGTGTCAACTTGGGTAGGTCATGATTCTCAGGGGTTTGGCAGATATTATGTAATCATCCTCCATTTGTGATCTGATGTGAGCAGCCAATAAGTTGAAAGTGACGTTTCCTTGGGGGTGTGTCCTGTATTCAATATAAATGGAAGTTCTCTCAAAGTTCTCCCTCTCTTGATCCTGCATCTGACCTCCAGTTCTTGGGACGTGAGCCAGGAAGCTGCTGTCTGACCTGCAGATTTTGAGTTCATCAGTGAGAACCCACGTGAGTCAGGAGAAGCCTACAGCCTGACACCTGACCCACAGATTTGGGATTTACCAGCCTCCACAACTGTGTGAGCTATTTCCTTGAAATAAATCTCTCTCTATATATATTTACATATATATACACTTCACTGGTTTTGTACCTCTAGAGAACCCAGCCTAAGACACCATGGACTGCTAGAAGAATCAATAGATCTGTCTTGGAAGCAGTGCAGCCCGAATACTCCTTAGAAGAGAGGATGGCAAGACTTTGTCTCACGTACTTTGGCCATGTTATCAGGAGGGACCAGTTCCTGGAGAAGGGCATCATGCTTGGTAAAGTAAAGCATCAGTGAAAAAGAGGAAGACCCTCAGTGAGATGGACTGACACAGTGGCTGCAACAATGGGCTCAAATATAGCAGCACTTGTGAGGGTGGCACAGGACCAGGCAGTGTTTCATTCGGTTGTACACAGGGTCGGTATGAGTCAGAACTGACTCGACAGCACTTAACAACAACAAGAAGAGTTCTGACAAATGCATAAAGTCATGTGGCCACCATAACAGTATCATACAGAATAGTTTCATTGCCCTAAAAATACCCTGTGCTCCACCTATTCATCCCTCCTGCCTCCCCCTGACCCCTGGCCAACACTGATCTTTTCACTGAGTAGTTTTGTCTTTTCCAGGATGTTGAACTTATACAGTATGCAGCTTTTTCTCATTGTCCTCTTTCACTTGTTGTTGTTATTGTTGGGTGCTGTCAAGTCAATTCTGACTCATGGTGACCCCATGTGACAGAGTAGAACTGTTCTATATGGTTTTCTAGGCTATAAGCCTTATGGGAGCAGGTTGCCAGATCTTTCTCCTATGGAGCAGCTGGTTAGCTGTGCAATTAAGGTTCCCCTACGTCTTTTCATATTTTTGTTTTGCAAATTTTCAGACATAGAAAACAGAATAGTATTAAGAACCCCCGTGTACCCACTACCCTGCATCAACAATTATTGACTCCTGACTAATCTCAGTTCATTTGTACCCCCACCCTTTCCCTAATTCTTCTTTTATTATAAAGCAAATCCTGGACATTGTATTATTCAATCCAAAAAGATTTCAATTGATATCTCTAAAAGGTAAGAACCTCCTCCTTCTTAAAAAACCATAACCACAATATCGTTATCCCAAGTGCTCATTACTTAAGCATAGTAAGGAGTACTTGGGAGTGGTTGCATTGGCCAGGGTTGTCCAGGAAGGCCTTGGGAAGAGGCAGCATGTCCAGGTCTCAAGGTGGAGCAGCAGCCTGATGAAAATGGGGTTGAGATGGGGAACGCTCCAGGTAGAGGGACCTGTGAGAGGTGGCCAGCAACCTGGATTGTAGTGGCTGGGGTGTGACATGTTGAGAGGAATGGGGTGAGAGGGGTCAAAGCTAGGCCCTGCGGGCCAGCCGTCTGGTGGATTTCACCCCATCATGATGGGAGCACTTGGACGGTGTTGAGCAGAGCTGTGGCCAGTCTGAAGATTTTAAAAGAGCCCTCTAGCCACTCTGCGGAGGGCGGGTGTGGAAGTAGGTCATGGAAGACGTCAGGTGTTAACTCCATTCTCCCTGCATTTCCTCTTGTCTCTCCAACAGGGAAAGATTTTTGAGATACTGAGAATCTGCTCTATGTCCAGATTTGTCTGTTTCGCGCACGATCTGCTGCCAGTAAGGACAGATCCAGATGTTGTGGTCACAGATCTCCGCTTTGGGATGATCCCTGTGAAGCTTTACAAGCCGAAGGCGTCTTTCTGGGCCACCAGGACTGGAATCGTGTTCTACCACGGTGGTGGGGGTGTCCTGGGGAGCTTGAGTAAGAGCACTAGGTCGTGGGGAGCTTGAGTAAGAGCACGTTCCTCAGATTTGCAAAGAATGAGAGCATCCCTACCCCCACTGTGGTGATATCAACCTTCCAGCACGAGGCTGTGTTATAGAATGGAACCCCAGCATCCTTTCAGGGTTTACAGTTCACTCTTAAGCCCAGTGACCACTCACACCGTTAAGGGGTCTCAGATCATTCAGGTGGCAAAGATACGAAATGGATCGATCTCTTTTTGGAAGTAAGGAGATACGTACACATGTTCATACATACATAATACATAATACACACATGCATACACATACACACACACACACACACACACACACACACACACACGGATATGGAGCCCTGGTGGCATGATGGTTAAGAGCTCGCTCCTTGGAAACCCTATGGGGCCGTTCTACTCTGGCCAATAGGGTTGCTATGAGTCGGAATGAGCTCAAAAGCAACAGGTTTGGTTTTAAAATGGTTAATGTTATGTGTTATGTGTTTTTACTGAGGTGAAATTCACATAACGTTAACCATTTTATAAAATTCACATAACATTAACCATTTTATAGTGTATAATTCCATAACAATTCAGTGAATGTTCATACTTTCACAAGGTTGTGCAACCATCACCTCTATTTCGCTGGAAGTAAGAATATTACAAGTGAAAACAACTAAACACATTGTTTTACATCAAGTGAAGGCTGCTCACTGAAAGGTTGGCAGTTCAACTCTACCAGCTGCTCCACGGAAGAAAGATGTGGCAGTCTGCTCCTGTGAAGATTACAGCCTTGGAAACCCTGTGGGGAAGTTCTACTCTGTCCTATAAGGTCGCTATGAGTTGGAAGCAACTCGACAGCAACGGGTTTTTTGTTTGTTTGTTTTTTGGTCCAGTCTTGGAGTGCCAGGGTACCACAGGGATAGATAGATAGGTAGGTAGACCGACAGACGGACAGATACATAGATAGTTGACTCCTACTCATGGCATCCTTATGAACAACAAAATGAAATGTTGCCTGGTCCTGCATCATCCTTACCATAGTAGGCATGCCAAAGTCCATCATTGTGGTTATTGTCCCAATCCTTCTCACCGAGGGTCTCCCTCACCCTCACTGGCCCTCTATTTCACCAAACATGATGTCCTCCTCCAGTGACTGATCCCTCCTGAAGACATGTCCAAAGCAAGTGAGTCAGACAATGTTCTGTTGTGATCTATAAGATTTTCATTGGCTAATTTTTGAAAGTAGATCACCAGGCCTTTATGCCACTGAGACCTGTCCACCATGGGGGACCCTGTTGGTATTTTAAATACCAGTGGCATAGCTTCCAGCATCACAGCAACATGCAAGCCAACACAGTACGACAAACTGACAGATGAGTGGTGGCCCATTGTAGTAGGCATGAGAATAGGGATTTAATGAATCAGTGGTTCCTGTTTGGTCTGCATGATAAAATGCTAATAAAAGACCATATTTGTTAAGCATTTAGTACGAGTTGGGCATTGCCTCATTTAATCCTCACAATAGTCGTATGAAGGAGATATTATCATGATCCCTGTTTTACAAATGAGAACAATCAAGTCTCAGAGAGGTTAAGGGACTCGCTAGGAGCTACTTTAGCTCAAGCTAAAAAGAAGCAAAATTAGGATTTGAACTTGGGCCTGTGGGACTCCAGAATTTACATCCTTTCAACTGTGCTTTACTGTTGACCAGCTTCTTAGGCATTTTTAATGATAGTAGAGTTCATCAGGGGTTTGGCATCTTACAGAAAGTTGTTCAGGCATTGTCACTAAGGAGAAACAGTGATGTTGAGAGGAAGTTTGCTGGGGGGCTAGAAGTAAATTTGCAAAACCTAGGTAGAGTCTGATTTTTCAGAAGTAGATTGTCGGGTCTTTTTTTTGAGCCTCTGGGTGGACTTGAACCCTCAACTTTTTGATTGACAGCCGAACGCTTCAACTGTTTGCACCAAACCCTACGGAGCACAGTTCTACTCTGAGATACATAGGATTGACATACATGAGTTGGAGTCTACTTGACAGCAACTGAAAAGTTAGAGTCTTCCCAAGCGCTTGGCAGTGGTTGTCAGTAAGAAGGGAGCAGCTAACAATAGCTGGCAAAGGAGGCCCCCTGGCTTCTGTAGTGAATGCTAAAAACCTTTTATTTTCTAGAAACCCATCATGGCATATGCTGTCGTTTGTGCAAGGAGAGCGACTCGGTGGTTCTATCTGTTGGGTGAGTAAAGGGGAGAGCAGGGGAGGTGCCAGGAAGCCAGGATGGGCTCCGGAGTGATAGGGTGGGAAGTCAGAAGTAGGTGAACAGGTCGGGAGTTGGAAGAACACCAGGAGGAGGGGATGGGTTGTGCGAAGCCAGTGAGGAAGAGAAGGGAAAGGGAAGGGAAGAACCATGGAAAGGCAGAGCATGAGGAACCCATTCCTATGTGCAGCGCTTGGCCATGTTTAAACAGGGACATTTAGTGCACGGAATCATCTGGAAGCAGTGTGGGATGTGGTGTTTGTTAAGCAGATGAGTTGCAGAGTTCCTCAGCAGGAGCACTTTGGGGTAGAATAGTTCTCGGTTGAGCAGAACAGCCTAGCAAGTTCTGGACACTTAGCCCCTCTCTCCACCAAGTGCCAGTGGTGTCTGCACAGTAACCAGGACAACCGAAAACACTGCCACAACCATTTCCAAGTGCTCCTTAGAGGGAGATCCACCTTGGCTGAGAACTACCAAAAGAAGTGAGAAAAGTAAAAAACCACTCTCACCACTTTCTGAGTCACCCACCCACCTGAAACTCAACGAGGGCTTGGTGGACATTGGGTGGGGAACCTGAAGTGCGCCCTCCTTGAGTCTCCGCATAAGGCAAATGGGACACGTATGAGGAGCTGTCATTGTGGGTGGTGTCGCCTGGTCCTCCTGCCCTGCTGCCTGACATTTCATCACACAGGGTCAGTTCCTCCTGATTAAGCTCTCCCCACAATTTCATTTTAATGCATATCGTATTAGGAAATGTTGTAGTTGTTGTTAGTTGCTACTGAGTCGGCCCTCAGCTCATGGTGGCCCCATGTACAGTGGAACAAAACAAAGCCCGATCCTGCATCATTCCCATGATCGGTTGTAGATCGGGCCATTGTGATCCATAGACTTTTCATTGGCTGATATTTGGAAGTAAATCTCCCGGCCTTTCTTCCTAGTTCATCTTAGTCTATAAGCTCTGCCAAAACCTGTTTAGCATCACAGCACCTAGAGCAACACACAAGCCTTCATTGACAGACTGGTAGTGTCTACACATAAGGTGCATTGGCCAGGAATCAAACCCGGGTCTCCCACATGGAAGGTGAAAATTCTACCACTGAACCACCAATACTCTTCATTAAGAGCCAACATCTTAGTGGGAATTCCTGTCACAGATTTCTAATGGCACAGCCAGTTAGGTAGGATAAAAAATTACAGAAATAAGTCCCAGATGAGAGAGAGATCTGGAGATATGTTCCACTTTCCAATTCTTGGCTCCAAACCCATTTCTGCAGTGGGATGAAACTCTTCACCCAATTGTTGAGGCATACACCTTACTCTTTGGGATGTGCTGATCAAAAAGATCATCGATAGAATATGCTGGCAAATCTCTGCAGGAAGGTTATTTTATGAATTCGAGGTAGACAGGTTTTGGAATTGACAGCATGACTATTCCAGCACTACCCCAGGGTAGCTTGGAATATGCTGGATCAGAATGAGTAGGGCTAAGCAAAGGTTTTTTCATCCCATGAAATGTTTACTTTCTTTAAAATCTGGGGCCAGCATTTAAAAATTGTGAAATTTCTCACAAAACCCAGTGTCTGGAATCTCTTCAAAAATCAGAAGGTCTAGCAAAACCAGGCTGGTGTTCCTGCATGGAGAGAGTGGGCTAGGATGGCTATGGCTGGTTTGAAGGAGCCCCACATGTTATCTACTGGCCCTTGATGGTAGTTAAGTCTACAACATCCCCCCCACCAAACCTTGGGCATGGCAGGATTAATTAGAATCAAAACCCAGGCAAACCTGGAGTGGCTCATAAAAGAATCATACTATGGGAGCAGGGAATAGGTGTGAGTCAGGTAAGCAACATCAGGTAGGTTCAGAAAGACGGGGCTACTTTGGTGATATTTAAGTAGTTGGCCAATAGCTGGATGGCATTGTTCTTGTGTTTGTCGCTGGTCCCAGTAAGGCATTGAGACAGTGGGAATCATAGCTACCCCTTACTAAGCCCCTCCAGTGTGCCATGCTCTGAGGGTTTCATGTCTAGCATATCATTTAAGCCTCACACCCAGCTTTACCTGATCACGCTTCAGAAAAAGAAAAATTCAGGCTAAAGGATGCTAAGAAAACAATAAAACCAAAGCAGTTGCCACCAAGTTGATTCTGACTCATGGCAACCCCATGTATGTCAGAGTAGAACTGCTCCATAGGGTTTTGATGGTTGTGACCTTTCAGAAGTAGATCGCCAGGCCTTTCTTCCGAGGCATCTCTGGGTGGGTTTGAACCACCAACTTCTTAGTTAGTAGCTGAGTGCTTAACTGTTTGCACCACTCAGGGACTCCTAAAGGATGCTAGATGTGATATTTGTTGGCTGTGCTGGGATGATGAGTGTAAGCTGTGTTCCCTGATTCCTCCCTAGGTATCGCATGCAGCCTGAACATAAGTTTCCAGTGCTGATAACAGACTGCCTTGTGGCCACAATCCACTTCTTGAAATCTCTGAATGCGTACGGGGTGGATCCAGTCCGGGTTGTTGTCTGTGGTGACAGCATGGGAGGGGGAATAGCAGCTCTGGCTTGTCAACAACTCAGAAGCAAACAGGATCTCCCCACGATCCGTGCTCAGATTCTGGTCCAGGCTCTTCTGCAAGCTCTAGACTTCCAACTCCCTTCCTATCAGCAGAACAGGAATGTGCCCATGCTCACTCAGCACTTTGCCTTCTACTGCTGGTGTCACTTCCTGGCTATCAGCATCTCCTGGGAAAGCATAGTCTTGAAGGGTGCCCATTTGCCTATGGAAGTCTGGGAAAAGTATAGAAAGTGGCTGGGCCCAGAAAACATCCCAGAGAGGTTTAAGCAGCGAGGTTACTGTCAGATGCCCCATGCTCCGGTGAATGAGAAAGCCTACTTAGAATCAAGCCTAGCTATGAGTGTGATGATTTCGCCCCTGTTGGCAGAAGATGATGTCATAGCTCAGGTCCCGGAAGCTTGCACTGTGACCTGTGAGTATGATCTTCTCCGGGACGACTCACTGTTGTACAAGAAGAGGCTGGAGGACCTGGGTGTGCCTGTGACCTGGCACCACATGGAAGATGTCTTTCACGGAGTGCTCAACAGCATTGACATGGGATGCTTGTACTTCCCCTGCTCCATGAGGATTCTGAATGTGATGGTCAATTTTATAAAAGGCTTGTGATCATCTTTCTTTCCTGCTGGAGCCATGAGTAGTGTGGATCCCACCATCACTCAGTTCCCCACTGGGCTCTCTGTTGCTGATTTAGGTGATGCTAAGTCAGGCTAGGAAAACCTGGTGGTGTAGTGGTTAAGAACTATGGCTGCTAACCAAAAGGTCAGCAGTTCGAATCCACCAGACGCTCCTTGGAAACCCTATGGGGCAGTTCTACTCTGTCCTATAGGGTCACTATGAGTCGGAATCGACTCGATGGCAATGTGTTTGGAGTTTTTTTTTTTTTTTTTTTTAAGTCAAGCTAGGGAGGATGTGGAGGTTGCCACCTCCTCCCTGCTCCAGATTCTAGAATCATACAATGCATGCTTCTGATGTCTGAAGGAAGAACAGTAGAGGGAACAGGTTTCAGGGGGAGGGCTCTCTGTCCACACTCACTGTTGGGAAATTTTAAGTTGACCATCTTCAATGGCCACTTCCAAGCATGAATTAACATGTAAGGGTTACTCACAGCATCCTTGAGGTACAGTTCAGATTGTCCAAGGGGAGCCGCAGGCTTTACCTGGTTTTGATCTAGCCTGTGTGCACCAGGAGTGCCCTGGTTGGCTGAACCTAGGAATAACATAGGAGCATTGGTGTAATCTTATGGGGTTTTCCAGTCTGTCTCAGAGGGTGGTGGAGTTCTGATTTTCTAGAATGGTGGGTGGTGGTGGTGGAGAAACTGGGTTCAGCCTCCTCCTCTAGGTGAACAGTGACACTTCTCCTGTTGATTCCCAGCCTCTGGGCTCAGAGTCTCGACTGCCTGGACTGGAAGAGTTAAGTTAGCATGGATAGATTTTCCATGGTGGCTGGCACCTAGTGGCAAATGAAGACAGTCTGGAGCTGCCTTGTTGAGGGAGTTCTGGGTCAAAGCCAGGCTCCCAACCAAGGGCCTGCAGGCAACATTGTGCGGGTTAGAGGAGAGAGTTGGGAGGGAAACTGAGTCCTGAGTCAGAGCTTTAACAAACGCCGAGTAGGGCCAAGCTCAATCATGCCCATAGTAGGGAATCAAGAAAGGGCCAAAAGGACATAAGATGTATTTGTGAGAGCTATTTCTGTTTAAGACATAGAACCAACTCAAATTAGCCTGAGTTATAGAGAGAATGCACTGGCTTATGTAATTATGAATTCCAGGAATAAATCAGGCATGGTTTGGTCCAGGAACTCAAACAGTGCCACCAGCTGACTTCTTTCTTTCTCTGTTCTACTCTCCTCTTTGTTTTGTTCCCTATTTGTTAATTTGTTCCCTCTTTAGGGCTGGGAGAATGGCTCAGGATGCGTGATGGGTCCTACTTCTGACCCAGGGGACTCAGCAATCTCTGAAGCTGTCCTGGACCAGGTGCAGAGCAGGAAGAGGTGAGGTAAATAGGAGAGAGTTTTTTCCCTAAGAGGGTGTTTTTTGATCTGCGTGGTAGGCCAGATGCAAGTACTTATCTTTTGCTGCTTTTCACTGGTTCTGGATGCCCAAGTAGACTCTCTGCTGCTGGGTCTTTCCCTATGTGGAAAACGCCTCCCTAGTACCACCGCTTGACTCACCGCACACGGGAGCCGATCTGGCCTGAAGGGCACCGGCTCCCACTGGGTCAAGTCTGGCAACTTCTTGCTGCTTCTGAACAGTCTCTCCCTCCCCCTGCCACTCAGTCCAATTCCTCAAATTTGCCTTTGATGTTCAGGGCTCCTAGATTGTCATATATAATCGATTCACTTGTTTTTTCGGGTCTTTGTTGTAAGAGGGACCACAAGAAGCATCTGACTACTCCACCATCTTGGCCCCACTTCTCTACTCTCTTTGTTGACTTCACCTTCATCTCTCAATCTGGTGGCCCTGAGCAACTCTATGCTTACATCCTCCCAGCGTCAAGTTCATTATTAATGAACTTGCCACATTCTTGGTGGTTCCAGCAAAAATCTCTTGGCAACTCACTGGCTCAGTTGACTTCCAGAGTAGTGTATCCAGTTGCCACAACCAAGGAAATGGAATACTCTGACAGACCAGGCTCAAGTCCTGTGCCATCCTTGGCATGGACAGAGGAGTCAATTCTACCTGGTGCTTGGAGTGAGAGTGGAGGAGAGAGTACATTCTTAAAAGAAGAGTAAATGGATGATGGGTGAACATCAAAGCATACTCTATTACAGAAGCTAAATAGAATCCTGAGTCAAGATACTTGGAAGTGGAAAAAGCTGTCAAGAACCATTGGGCAAGTTGACCAGTTGCTCCTTGGGAATAAAAATTCCTTTCAAAGGGTTGACCCAGGCTCCCAAACTGGCCCCACGTGGTCTTAAGCAGGCTCTGCTCCACATTGGCCAGAGAGTTTTATAGGCCAAGATCCAAGTCTACTGCACAAAGGACACTTTAACTTGTTTTCAGCTAATGTTTGTCCTGAAACATGGGGCAGAGAGGAATTCCACTGAGTGGCTTCTTGATTCATTCACAGCTTACCAGCATGTAGCTTCGTTGGCGAAACACATACTTCGGTGGCACTCAGCTTTTGGAGATTATTGGAATTGGAGGAGCATGGTCCCTTCTGAGATGGACCTCTAAGCTGAGTCTGGGTCGGCTCCCCTACTGGAGTTTGACTTTTCTTGTTTTACCTCAGCCTCTGGAAATGGAGGGAGAGGCATGAGCTAACTTTCTGGAAAGTTGGCTGTTGGGCTTTTTTACTGCTGGGTGGTGAGGAGGCAGTGAGCCACTGAAGGACTGTGCCCAGTGGAGATGAATGAAATACATTTTAAGAGGCTGGGAACTCTGGGGTGGGGTCATTTCCATGGGTTGCTTCCTTCTGCAGGTTGTGGGAAAGATTTAAAGCCCTTTCTCCCCCAACATCTGGTTGTGTTGATTTCGGGACCAAATTCTCCACTCCTCTTCCTCACTGCTTTGTCACTACCTTTCCTGCCACACATTCCTGGGACTCAAGGAAGAGAAAAGGGATGATGGGGACAGGAATGAGTGTTCACTGAGAGCCAACTACATTCAGTTCTAGGCACTGTACTGAGCCTTCTGAATATGCCACTTCATGTGTTCTTCATGTGAAACCTACAAAGTGAGTGTCTTAGTTTCCTAGGGTGGCAGTAATGAAATACTACAAAGTGGGTGGCTTTAAGGATCATATATTTAATGTCTCACAGTTCTGGAGGCTAGGAGTCCAAATTCAGGGTATCAGCTGTGTGGATCCCTTCTGAGGATTCTGAGAGAGAAACTGTTCCATGCCTCTCTCCCGGCAATCTTTGTTGTTCCGCTTACACCTGTGTCTGCCTTCATCATCACATGGCTCTGTCACCATGTCTGTTCTCCTCTTTTATGAGATGCCACTCAGGTGGGAGTAGGACCTGTCCTACTCCTATATGATCTCATATTAACTGATAACATCTTCAAAGATCTTATTTCCAAACCAGGTCATGTTCACAGGTACTGGGGTTAGGACTTCAACATATCTTTTTAAGGGACACAATACAATCTATAGCAGTGGGTATTCTTAAACCTATTTTGCAGATGAGGAAACTGAGACCCAGAGAGATGAATAATAATGCTTGTTTCCTGACTTTTCCTAGGAAGGCTCAAGGCAAGCTGATTAAGTAGTTTGCCTAAGGTCACCTAGCTGGTCAGGTACTGTGCAATGCAGCCCTGATCTGTCTGACAACACCCCGCTCTGACCCGCCCCTTGGCCCATCAGCCCAGAATGGCGGCGCTTCTCTTTGCCATCATCGAGCATTAACATTTGAGACGCTATTGAGCCACATGATCTTGTCTGAGTCTTGTCCTATTCATCTATGTGTCAGCCATTGTCTGATCTGAGTCAGGTTGATAAAGTCCAGTATTTCTGCTTTCTGGTTTCCTTCACTTTCTCAACTATACCCTTCTCTTAGTCTGAATAACTTTGGAATTAATGACCATAGGCCCCTCTGGGATTGCACAGCTGAGGTGCCCAGCTAACACCGCTCTGGGGGAGGTGGACACATACACGCCTGTAAACCCAGACACTCCGGAGTCTTAGTAAATCCTCAGGACTTCCCTGGAAAGGTCTATTAGTTAGCTCAGAGAAAGTGCCATCTGATAAGGGACAACTAGTTGCATTCAAAAATACTTTTTTTGGTCAGTAGGCCATTAAAGATAAGGTCTTAGGGTAAAATTTGCAAAATTTGTCTTTGCAGCTCTTCACCCCACTTCTCTTTTGTTGTCCTCCTTTGGATACTCCTTGCCCCAGCCAAGACCTCCCTGCCTTTCTGACCCTAAGCCTTGTCTGCATGATCTGCTCCAGAATGACTTCTAGCTCTCTCCTCTTATTTCTGAGTTAGGATAGGTTAAGCACTGCCACGATGACAAATGACTCCACAGTCTCAGTGGCTTACGACAGCAAAACTCCATTTCTTGCTCACATCACGGGGCTCTCATGCGTCAGCTGCACCTCTGCTCCACTTGCCTACTTTACTCTGGGACCCAGTCCAGTGGAGCACCTCTATCTGAAATATCTTCAGTCTCGTGGCAGAGGGAAAAGGCACATGGCGATTCAAGAGCCAGAAGACCTCCAAGCTCTCCACTGGCTCTCCCAGCTTCTGCTCAGAAGCAGCACGCATCATTTCTGCTTACCATTCATTGGCCAGAGCAAGTCACATGGCCAAGCCTGAGGTGGGTGGGACGGGGAAACAGTATCCTCCCCAGAGAAAAGAAGCAGATATTTTTGGACAACATTACAACTTACTACAGTCTTAATCATAAGATTTCCACTTCATTTCTACCATTTAAAAATTAATTTTTAATTATATAAAACCAAAACAACCAAACCTGTTGCCGTCGAGTCGATTCTGACTCATAGCAACCCTATAAGTGACGTAGAAATACATTCTACTTTTAAATAAAACCTTACAGGACTGGGGCAGACATGGCTATGGCAGCATGCTTGTCCATTTTCCCATTCTTGCCTGTTCTGTAATATTCTTTGGATTTGGACAGACAGATCTGTGGCAGCATGCGTGTC